GGGGGCGGGGGGGGACACGACAGGAGGAGCGAGCTGCAGCGGGGCGGCATCCTCTGGGTTCCCACTGCTGCTGCCCGGAGGGGTCCCTGATAGCCCCCAGTGTAGGGGGCAGTGCCTGGTAGCCCCTCTCCTGGGGTTGTCCCTGGTAGCCCGCAACCGTATGAAGGTCCCTAATACACCCGAGGGGCAGGTTAATACCTTCCGGGGGCGTCCCTAATAGCCCGCAACGCCGGGGGGGGCTGGTAGCCCCCAACCTGGCCAGGCCATAGTGGAGGAGCGGGATGGAGGAAGCTCCCCCCTCCCTGTGTCCCTGTGACCCAAAGCCAGGCCTGCCCTGGTGCTGCTCACACCTTCCTCAGGCACCAGCTGTCCCACAGGATGCCTCCAGCGCCTTATTGGGGTCCCGGGTGGCCCCTGGGTGGGCGCGGGGAGCAGCGCCCATGGACTGCCTTGCATAAGGAGGTCTGAGAGGCTGCGTCTCGAGTGAGGAGGCTGTGGGGAGCTGTGGGGGAAACGACCTTTGCAATGACATGCGGTTGGAGGTTGTGCTCCTCACGGCCCTGAAGGAACAGGATACCAAACGTTCAGCCCTAAATTATTTTGTAAGTTTTGTACGAATTGCTTTGCCCTGCCCTGAAATGCAGCAGCTGTTCGCCACTGCCCAGCATTTTGGGGCAGGAGGCGAGGGAGGGTCCTGCGAGCATGGTGACAAGGGGACTGTGGGGAGGGAGGATGCAGTGGTCCGTGCGGGGATTTGGCTGGGGCAGTGACTATAACATCCTATAACCACTCTGAAAATGCTGCATCCATTGTAGGTGATGGTTTGTTTGCTGGGGAGATGCTTCGAGCAACATCATTGCTTTTTGTGAGCTATTTTGTCTGGTCCAGGAAGGTGAAGCCTTAAGCAGGGACCCCAAAACCTCTTCCTGCAATGCCTGTGTACCTGTGGGTGGGTGGGAGGACTTCTGTCCCCATCTGAGAAGTCTTTCATGCAACTCTGGACCCAACACAACCTTCCTGAGCCAAAGAGTCAAGCTGAAAGTGGAATGGCCCCTGTCCATCACACCCACGCAGCTGGATGGAGTCTGCTCCATACCTTCGCCATTCTCCTAGCAGAACTGTTTAACCCCTCCCATCTCATTATAGTAATATATTTATGATATCACCCTCAAATTTCCTGCCCTTAACAACCCCAGAAGGCTGGGAGGGATTGAAGCATTTTTGGAAAGTATTTAATGTTACTTCAAGAGGGCAGGAGGCAGTCAGAAAATAGATGGGTGCAGGAACCCTGGGCGGACAGGGCTCTCTGCAGGACAGCCGAGGAAAAGGACAGCACCTAGCGAGAAGTGCGTGTTTGCCTTTCCTACCTGGGGCTGCAGACCGGGTCTAGCACCTATCGCTTCACTCCCTTGCTTGGAAAATGAAATAGGACTGTCGTTGGCTGCCTGCTTGTTTGCTAGATCTGTTCGACTCCTTGCCCTCCTGAAGGGCTTGAAAAGCAGCCTGGGGGGTGTGAAAAGACTCAGGCCAGCTATTCATTTGATGATACACTGCATGGACCTTGCACAGCATGAAGCTGAAGCCCACCCAGACCTAGGGAGGGAAGATGAAGATCTCCACAGCTGGGCTGGTATTTCTGGAGGTTTCTGCTCTCTTGACAGCACCTAGCAGGGGCAAGTGCTCCAAGGTGCAAAGTAACAGCCTGAGCTACTACATGGTCAGGATTGAGTGTGTGCACTCGGTTCTCCTGTACATGCATTTTAAAAGGCTTTTTGATTCTTAGTGCTCCAACGTTGCCTTAGAGGAAGGAGCCTGGAAGGACAGAGAGGAGTGCGGTGACAAGTCTGTACAAAACTGGATGTTTCAACTCAAAACTGCCAGGTAGTGGAGAGGAAGGGATGCGTGAAATGAAGCTGTGGTGGCAGCCAGGGGATTTTTCTGAGCTTGCTCTTTTTCTCTCTGTAGGTGTTCGTCTCGGTGGGGCCACACTGACCATGCTCAGGAGCTTCTGTCTCCAGCTCATGTCCTTGGTTTGGATCCTCTTGGCCCATCACCAGCTTGCCCAAGGTGAGTCTCTGTAGGCATGGGACCTTCTTTCTTAGATCCATCTTTCCAAGCCTGTCCTTGGCATTGCTGAAGTCTCCACAGTTCTTCATGCAAAATAGAGTTGGCCTGACCTGGAAGACCAGAAAATGCTGCAGTCATCCGGCACCTGGGCGGTGACTGGTGGCAACTGTAGAGACACCCACTCTGGTGCCCACGGGGCTGGCAGTGCCTGAGTAGACCAGCAGTGAGAGGTCCTGCTGCTCTCACAGTCTCTCACAGACAGGGTGAATGGGTCCCTGAACGGATAAGCCTATTTGGAGAGGCAGGGCAAGTGGGAAAGAAGATCCCAAAACTGAATGGCTAATCCTGGATCCCATGGGACAAAATCCCTTCCCAGAGATTAGTTTGGTCTCCCCCTGTTCCAGATAAGCGATGAATTCCCAAAGCTGTCTGCCAGGAGAGATGGTTACAAATAGGAAAGGCGACAATACCCAGGCTTGGGCTGAGCAGTCCCAGGACGCTGCTCAAGCTCTGCGGTGGCTTGTTTTGGGAGGCTCTTATCCTGAGCAGTGGGAGCTGCCGCCTCACTGCAGCAAAAATACATGCATGTGGATGGGGGATTTCTCCCCCTGCGTGCTTCCTAGGCAGCACATTGCGCGGCTTGAGGAAGGCCTGAGCACACCACCCAGTCCGGGATGGAGGGGATCAGTCAGGTAAGGGTGTTCATCTCCTGGGCCTGGCCTGGGATCACACTGGGCTCCTGGAGAAACCCCTTGCCCCCTGACATTTGCTGTAGCTCTACTGCCTATGGAGCCGGAGCGAGCCAGCTCCCCGTGGGTCTGAGATATAAGCAGGTGATGGGGGAGAGGGGAAGGTGGAGATGAAAGGGGACACCTGGCTGGGGAAAGCAGGACAGTGCCGAGCAGCGGATGAGAAGTGGCACGGTGAGGCCATGGCTCGGTTACAGTTTCTGTGGCCTTTAAATAAATAAATAGAATTGGATACCTGGCCCCTTGTGATGCCCAGTCCTGCCTCCCCGCGACAGAGGGGGAGTGCTAGCAGCTGGGTCCTGGCAGAGGGCAGGACCCCTGACCAGACTGCTCCATGCCAGTAGCTGTCCCTGGGGATGGGGACATCCTGGGAGATAAAGAGGATCCATCCTTGGTCCCTTTGTGCCTCTCGCAGTACCCGCTCCTGAGCTTTCTTACCATGCATGTCACGCGACGGTGGGACCAGGGTCCCAGGTGGGTCAGGCCCTATTACACAGGTTGCCTAATGCACAGGCAACCCCAGCTTTTTCTCAGAAGGGCCTGAAGTCTCAGGGAGGCAACAGAGACCGGGGGGTGGGGTGGGGTGATCAGAAACCAGGTAGTTTTGAAGCAGGGTCCAATTTCTCAATAAAGGCAGTGTTATTGCTGCTTGGGTGACTGCAAAATCCTCATCTGTCATGGGACATCCAGCCACTGAAAGGAAGGTCCCCCACCTTACAGTTCTGGGAAAGGACAGGCTGAGTAGTTAGGAAATAAAAAAAGGCTGTGAGCCAGCAGGGTCACCAACAGATCTGGAGTCATCTATGGTCTCTGCTTAACCTAACTCCCCCTGTCTCCTGCCTTGCAGGTGATGACTGCAGTGAGCGCTGTAATCTCGCCCACGGCTGCTGTGACCAGGAT